ATTAATTCCTCTGCTCTCAAACAAGGCTTCCGTCATTTGGCGAGCAAGCGAGGGAGCCGGGAGCCACGGGGTGGAGGGGCAGTTCTCGCTGAAGAAGGGGTGAGGGGTAAATACACCCCTTTCTCTGTAGTCAGGAGGGCAAGGCGCCCTAACATAGGCCTCTGCGTCCAAGGCGATCTGCATGTGAAAGCCCCGGGCATGACAAAAGGATGAAAAGGTGCTGGGCAGGACCTGGACAATCCCTTCCTGTTCTGGTGGGTCGTTTGTTTCCATGCTGTCAGATACTGGGCCGCCAGCCCTCTCTACCCTCATCTCCTCAGCCCTCTGGTGCGTTGTTTCACATTCTCCCTCGTTTTGTTTTCCGGCTATTTCTTATACGTGCTTCTTATTTTTATTTTATTTTTTTCATTCACATGAATAGGAGTGATGGGCCAGTGTAATGTCAAACGGCGACTGGAACAATTGCTTTCATGGCTGTGTTTAAACGCCAAACAGCACCATGCATGAGAACTGCTTTGCATAACAAAAGAAGTGACAAAACCATTAGGCCAATTAGAGTATTTATATAAACATAGTAATGAAGGGATTCAAGCAGTCATAAACTATGCTTACTGTGTGGGAAAATAACTTCAGTTCTCTCTGAAATTGCACATTTGCTATTTCAAAGTGTGGGACTAGGGCAAAGCGTTTATTTTGCAAAATCGAATGCATTGCATTAACACAAAGAATGAATGCTTGGGATGAAAATGTAGCACTTCAAATCTCTGTAATAGTTTTCTGCTTGTGCTGTTCTTATGCTGCTCCAGCAGGGACAAAAAGAATGTTAATTATGTAAATTAAAAAGTGCTCTAATCCAGAGGGAGGAGCTGTTCCCATAGCGTTAGCTTTAGTTGAGTATTGGCACATATTGACAAAGCATTAGCATTGTGTAATGATTTTTTTTTCTGCAGAGGAAGTCCTCCTATTGAGATAAATGCCTTGTTTTCTTCTTTACCATTGTGGTACGTTCTGATGTGCGCCGGCGTTTAGTCAATCCCACTTCTTATACTTCACTATATTCCCATCCAGTTTGCCAAAAGAGGATGAGTCTTTTAATATTAGACCCATGTGACCAATACACACTCAGTCTCACAAACACCTCAAAACAATGGGGATAGAGCTTTCGTTCTCAATAAAACATGCAGAGGTATAATTTAAAGAAAGATGAAACTTAATTTGATTAGGCCTACTTACCTTCATGCTGTTTCAAACTAGCATACTTTTCTTTCATGAAACCCTAAAGGAGATATTTGGTAGACTGTCAGGGCTGCTCTTTACGCACAATAAAAAAAGTGCAACAAAACTTATCCAGCGACTTAACTTTAGTCTGTTCCTCATAGAAACCTATCAAATGCATGACTTTTATAAGATTTGGAATATGCAGTAGCTCATATGGACATATCTTTATGAAAGTGCAACTCAAAAATATCGCCCAATATCTCATTTTATGTTTAAATGAAAACAAACCATATCTTCTCAGAAGGACATGATGGGGAGTAAATGAAAACACATCGAAAACACAGAAATTGGGATAACTGATAGCTGGTAAGTGTAGAGAACAAGCGTTTGGGAGAATGCATAGACATTCACGTTCACTTGCAGTTTGCACGCACTAGGGGGGAAAACAGCATCTCTATGGAATAGTTCATGTGAAGCCATTCATCGCAATACGCCAGATGCACATCTTACATGCTTCAGAAACGAGTCGCATTTAAAATGGGCTAATTGTTTTTCAAATGTACAGACTCTCTCTCTTCTCTCTCTCTCTCCTCCCACAGTCTGATTTCTGCTGCTGGGACTCAGTTGTGATCATGTGACGGGCTCGAGAGCGCAAGAGGAGCTGGTCGGTAACGGAGGACCGAATGCCAATCTCATTGAGAAAGCGCCTTCATTGCGCGTAAGAGACGGGAGGGACAGACGGTTCTAGTGCTGCACACATACACAGACATACAAGACACAGGAAGCTCTGGGGAACTCGGGGAAAGGGTGCATTTTCTCCGCCTCAAGAGGAAGTTAAGGACAAATCTCTCGCTAAAATAAATCTTAAAAGGGGCTGTGGGCACGCGGGAGTCGCCTTTGCGAGTAACTTGTGGGATTTATCGGGAATTGTTTCTGAAAGGAGACCTGGCTTCCCTGTCCACACGTTTATATTTCATTTTGTTCATTTAATTTCATTTCATCAGCTGCCCTAAACAACTGTCATCTCCCGAATTGCCGTAGTCTATTGCAGCAGCGCATTGTGCGTAAAGACAGAGACAGCAGCCTTTTCCGCGGACGGGTCAGGCACTTGCCTTCTTCACTTGCGTTTTTGTACTCTATTTATATCCAAGCCTTTATTTATTTTTGGGACTTTTCCCGTCTGTTTTGGGGCGTCGGTGGTGATTTCTGTGGAATATGGTGGGGGAAATGGAAACGAAAGAGAAGCCGAAGCCGACCCCTGATTATCTGATGCAGCTCATGAACGATAAGAAACTGATGAGCAGTCTGCCCAACTTCTGCGGGATCTTCAACCACCTCGAACGGCTTCTCGACGAAGGTAATGTCCCTCAAATCTCACCGAACGGTGCTGGAAACGGAGCGCGGTCGTTCGCGCTTAAGGCAAAGCGGTTAACAGTAGCAATGTATAGCATCAGTTGCATTTTTGGTGTCAGATCTTCATCCCTATTTTGCCAAACTCACCACTTATACAACCTTTTAGTTCTGCTTTAATAGCCGCTTAAGTTTACGCTCCCATTCGGTAGTCGCTCCGTTGCAAGGGGATAACCTGTGGCTTGCGAAATGATTTTACAGTGGTTTTGTTGGTTATTAATATATGTCTCGTTAGAAAAATGTCGTTTTGATATGTTTATGTGAATAAAACCGTAATGCAATAGGTTCCGTTTACAATTTCACCTTAATATTTGAGAGACAGTTGTTAACTCTGAGACAAAAAATAAAACTCATAGCCTAAGTAAAAATTATCTCACTTAAACTCTAAATGAACCGCTTTACACAGGCAGATATCGAGAGATTTACAACAGGAGTCGATGTTGAACTGATGTAGCCCATCGGTTCGACTGGCCTAAAAGAGAAAGTTGACCATCACTTAAGTTACGAGTGAATAGTTGTGTAAATAGTTTTGGACTAATGTCTACGTGATAACAACAAAAATGTAGTGAGTGAGCCTACACAAGCAAGAGAAACTTACTGTCACACCAACAGATCTTCTTCTGGACCGTTGCTATTTAAATAGTAGGTGCCAGACCTGTTGTTTACCAAAATAACCCAACAAAATGGCCCAGTATGTGTCAGCCAATAGTTAAGTATAGGCTATAAAAAAACAACCCAACATTTGTATTTAAAACAGCACACACAACAATAGCCTACAAACCGTTTTTTGCTGTATCTAAGCATAATGCATAAATATTCACAAAGCTTAGTTTGTCAAATTAGTCTTTTTATACAGTAGCCTATGTGCACCATGACATGGTTTAACTCAGGGGTGGGGAACGTTGATCCTGGAGGGCCGGTGTCCCTGCCGAGTTTAGCTCCAACCCTAATCAAAAACACCTGAACCAGCTAATCAAGGTCTTCGGGATGCATTTAGGGTTTTTTTTTCTAGGGCTTTTCAGGGTTGGAACTAAACTCTGCAGGAGAGTGGCCCTCCAGGATCAACATTCCCCACCCCTGGTTTAACTGTTGTCCTAGAGCAGTCGACCACTCAGTAATTTGTGGTTTAGGGTGAGAATTACATGTACTGTGGCACCAGGGGGCTCCTGACTAATTCTTTTTAGAAACGTCTTGTACCCATCTCCTGCTGTCAACTTTATAAAGTTCTTAATAGGGTTTATATATTTCCCCAAACTGTGCTCTTTTTCTCGTTCAGACTGTTTTATAAATGTTTTATAGAGAGCCTTGGGCCTTTATTGCAAATTAAATTACGGTAATTAGCTGTTTAAAGGATGATTAAAGCATCTTGTTGATCTATCTATCTAGGCCTATCTATCTATCTATCTATCTATCTATCTATCTATCTATCTATCTATCTATCTATCTATCTATCTATCTATCTATCTATCTATCTCCTATTGAGATAAATGCCTTGTTTTCTTCTTTACCATTGTGGTACGTTCTGATGTGCGCCGGCGTTTAGTCAATCCCACTTCTTATACTTCACTATATTCCCATCCAGTTTGCCAAAAGAGGATGAGTCTTTTAATATTAGACCCATGTGACCAATACACACTCAGTCTCACAAACACCTCAAAACAATGGGGATAGAGCTTTCGTTCTCAATAAAACATGCAGAGGTATAATTTAAAGAAAGATGAAACTTAATTTGATTAGGCCTACTTACCTTCATGCTGTTTCAAACTAGCATACTTTTCTTTCATGAAACCCTAAAGGAGATATTTGGTAGACTGTCAGGGCTGCTCTTTACGCACAATAAAAAAAGTGCAACAAAACTTATCCAGCGACTTAACTTTAGTCTGTTCCTCATAGAAACCTATCAAATGCATGACTTTTATAAGATTTGGAATATGCAGTAGCTCATATGGACATATCTTTATGAAAGTGCAACTCAAAAATATCGCCCAATATCTCATTTTATGTTTAAATGAAAACAAACCATATCTTCTCAGAAGGACATGATGGGGAGTAAATGAAAACACATCGAAAACACAGAAATTGGGATAACTGATAGCTGGTAAGTGTAGAGAACAAGCGTTTGGGAGAATGCATAGACATTCACGTTCACTTGCAGTTTGCACGCACTAGGGGGGAAAACAGCATCTCTATGGAATAGTTCATGTGAAGCCATTCATCGCAATACGCCAGATGCACATCTTACATGCTTCAGAAACGAGTCGCATTTAAAATGGGCTAATTGTTTTTCAAATGTACAGACTCTCTCTCTTCTCTCTCTCTCTCCTCCCACAGTCTGATTTCTGCTGCTGGGACTCAGTTGTGATCATGTGACGGGCTCGAGAGCGCAAGAGGAGCTGGTCGGTAACGGAGGACCGAATGCCAATCTCATTGAGAAAGCGCCTTCATTGCGCGTGAGAGACGGGAGGGACAGACGTTTCTAGCGCTGCACACATAGACAGACAAGACACAGGAAGCTCTGGGGAACTCGGGGAAAGGGTGCATTTTCTCCGCCTCAAGAGGAAGTTAAGGACAAATCTCTCGCTAAAATAAATCTTAAAAGGGGCTGTGGGCACGCGGGAGTCGCCTTTGCGAGTAACTTGTGGGATTTATCGGGAATTGTTTCTGAAAGGAGACCTGGCTTCCCTGTCCACACGTTTATATTTCATTTTGTTCATTTAATTTCATTTCATCAGCTGCCCTAAACAACTGTCATCTCCCGAATTGCCGTAGTCTATTGCAGCAGCGCATTGTGCGTAAAGACAGAGACAGCAGCCTTTTCCGCGGACGGGTCAGGCACTTGCCTTCTTCACTTGCGTTTTTGTACTCTATTTATATCCAAGCCTTTATTTATTTTTGGGACTTTTCCCGTCTGTTTTGGGGCGTCGGTGGTGATTTCTGTGGAATATGGTGGGGGAAATGGAAACGAAAGAGAAGCCGAAGCCGACCCCTGATTATCTGATGCAGCTCATGAACGATAAGAAACTGATGAGCAGTCTGCCCAACTTCTGCGGGATCTTCAACCACCTCGAACGGCTTCTCGACGAAGGTAATGTCCCTCAAATCTCACCGAACGGTGCTGGAAACGGAGCGCGGTCGTTCGCGCTTAAGGCAAAGCGGTTAACAGTAGCAATGTATAGCATCAGTTGCATTTTTGGTGTCAGATCTTCATCCCTATTTTGCCAAACTCACCACTTATACAACCTTTTAGTTCTGCTTTAATAGCCGCTTAAGTTTACGCTCCCATTCGGTAGTCGCTCCGTTTCAAGGGGATAACCTGTGGCTTGCGAAATGATTTTACAGTGTTTTTGTTGGTTATTAATATATGTCTCGTTAGAAAAATGTCGTTTTGATATGTTTATGTGAATAAAACCGTAATGCAATAGGTTCCGTTTACAATTTCACCTTAATATTTGAGAGACAGTTGTTAACTGTGAGACAAAAAATAAAACTCATAGCCTAAGTAAAAATTATCTCACTTAAACTCTAAATGAACCGCTTTACACAGGTAGATATCGAGAGATTTACAACAGGAGTCGATGTTGAACTGATGTAGCCCATCGGTTCGACTGGCCTAAAAGAGAAAGTTGACCATCACTTAAGTTACGAGTGAATAGTTGTGTAAATAGTTTTGGACTAATGTCTACGTGATAACAACAAAAATGTAGTGAGTGAGCCTACACAAGCAAGAGAAACTTACTGTCACACCAACAGATCTTCTTCTGGACCGTTGCTATTTAAATAGTAGGTGCCAGACCTGTTGTTTACCAAAATAACCCAACAAAATGGCCCAGTATGTGTCAGCCAATAGTTAAGTATAGGCTATAAAAAAACAACCCAACATTTGTATTTAAAACAGCACACACAACAATAGCCTACAAACCGTTTTTTGCTGTATCTAAGCATAATGCATAAATATTCACAAAGCTTAGTTTGTCAAATTAGTCTTTTTATACAGTAGCCTATGTGCACCATGACATGGTTTAACTCAGGGGTGGGGAACGTTGATCCTGGAGGGCCGGTGTCCCTGCCGAGTTTAGCTCCAACCCTAATCAAAAACACCTGAACCAGCTAATCAAGGTCTTCGGGATGCATTTAGGGTTTTTTTTTCTAGGGCTTTTCAGGGTTGGAACTAAACTCTGCAGGAGAGTGGCCCTCCAGGATCAACATTCCCCACCCCTGGTTTAACTGTTGTCCTAGAGCAGTCGACCACTCAGTAATTTGTGGTTTAGGGTGAGAATTACATGTACTGTGGCACCAGGGGGCTCCTGACTAATTCTTTTTAGAAACGTCTTGTACCCATCTCCTGCTGTCAACTTTATAAAGTTCTTAATAGGGTTTATATATTTCCCCAAACTGTGCTCTTTTTCTCGTTCAGACTGTTTTATAAATGTTTTATAGAGAGCCTTGGGCCTTTATTGCAAATTAAATTACGGTAATTAGCTGTTTAAAGGATGATTAAAGCATCTTGTTGATCTATCTATCTAGGCCTATCTATCTATCTATCTATCTATCTATCTATCTATCTATCTATCTATCTATCTATCTATCTATCTATCTATCTATCTATCTATCTATCTATCTATCTATCTAAATGACCCCTGAGAGGGCCCCCTCTAACCAGCTTCTTAAGTTCCTTTTATTCCTGAATGCAGAGGCCGTTCTGTGACTGTAGTATCTATCTATCTATCTATCTATCTATCTATCTATCTATCTATCTATCTATCTATCTATCTATCTATCTATCTAAATGACCCCTGAGAGGGCCCCCTCTAACCAGCTTCTTAAGTTCCTTTTATTCCTGAATGCAGAGGCCGTTCTGTGACTGTAGACTGATTTTCATTGTTCTTTTGTTTTGTAATATTCTTGCCTATTTAACACATGCATTTTAATTTCTTTTGCTTTATGGACTTTCCCTGCCAATTGAAAATCTGTTAAAAAAAAACCTGTTGTCAAACAAAGCAAACGTAATTTCAGATCATGATGTCGTGCTTGTAATAATTTAGAACCTCTTGAGCAAACCTACGTTTTAAATTATGTTTATAAAACTCCATCATTACACACATTACTCTACATTACCGACTCATTACTCATCATTACTTTCTCATTACAGTATGAGGGAGAGGGTGTCGTTATTTTTCTGACATCTCTGAGCGCTGCCACCCTTCCTCGCTCAAGTTAGGAAGGTTGGTAGGTTTATAATCGCTGACACACAGTCCCAAATAACTGTTTTCCGCCGGTGAATCATCTGCGCCCAGCATGCCATTCCAGTGTGGATGCAGTCCCTTGGCATCCGCAGTTAAATACCCGAGGATCGTATTCATCTGCAAATCACAGCGGAGTGACGTAAGCCTAATAACTCCTCTGTGATGTAATTTTAAAATGTCAGTTTCATTTTTAGATTTATATAATCAAATACATTTTTATTTGTCAGTTTAGACACTAAAATCCATCAAAACGTGTCTTTTACACACTATCCTGTTAAACTCGCATTTCGGACATCATCATACGCCCCTCGGGAGGGCCTGCGTGCTTTACACTGCGCTTTGTGAATTGCAGCAGTTTCACAGTCGTTTTCTTGTTTATTTCTTGTCACTCACATTTACAGCCTTTCCCTCTGGTCGAAACTAGCTTTCCTCTCTGGATAAAGCCGGTGATGTTCGCCTTTAACATTAGCCATGTAATCAGGACGATGCGGCTGATCTTACCTGCCAACATGAAGAATATTCTGCGTTTCACTTGCGAAGTATGACTCACATCGTCAGTTTTCACAGATTTTTATATGGAGAGTTGGTGAGAATCTGGCGTAGATATGTGTCATGCTGTTTAGTGCAATCTTTTTGAGTAATATGCCAGTTAGAGTCGTTTCCTCCACCACACATTATGGGTTTGTCACAGTCTAGCTTGTGCAAATCTGAATTAATAACGCTGTCAAGGGAGCACACACTCCGTCAGACTGAGATAGCGAGTTAGTCTTGTGCTCAGGAGAGTGAACTGAGCAGTCGGTTTCACTTCCACTATTGAACCATTGCAGAAATGAGCCCTGACCTCCGATAAACAGGACACTGCTCAGATCTGCATGTTAGGAGCGTGCGCATGCATGCCTCTGATCATATGCCTTTTAGAAAACTAATTGCAATTGGTCATGATCTTTAGTGGTTATGAGATCAGAAAATGTGCTTCTTTAGATTCATGGAGAAATCAATGTCCTGTTGTCGTGCTATAGTACTGCAACTCACAGACTGCGTGCTTTAACATATATGTATTCCTTTGTAATCTCAGAAGCTTTGTCGCTACAGTGGAACCATCACCAAAGCAACGCTAAATCATCAGCTTTTGCCGAGCTCAGCTCTATTCTGTCCTAGAACGACGCTCATGCTGGACCACTACATTGATCATACATGAAACTCATTTCTGCACGGCTCTGTGAGAATGAAAATGGAGAAATGAACTGAAAGTGTTGAAAATCTGTGGCATCATCGATAATCGAGGCAAGCGATAGCTCAGAAGCGCTCAGTAGCCGTGTGAGATCGCATGTGTGATATTCCCCGTGGGGTGTTGTAATATCCAACAAATCTGGCTCTGTTTGGATGAGAGTGTGTGAATGTGTGCGTTTGTGTCGGCTTGCATCCATCTCATAATGTGCATTCATTTTACACTCTCGTTTGTAATATCACATAATCGGATGCAAGCAGTAGCTTGGGAGCACTTTGAATTTTAGGCAATTGCTGTCATTATCACTATGAGAGCTCTGTTCATTTTTGTAAATGACTCTAGATTACTGTGATCTACTGAAACTAGAAATATAGACAAACTGTTATATTGTCTCATAAATTACTATAATATCATTATTGTTTTCTCTTTTTTTCCCTCTTGAACATTTGGGATGGTGCTCATTTAGTAGGTGTAGAGCCAGGCTGATTATATTATCGGTATCCAAAGGTCACAAGTTCACATTTAATCAGAGGGCACCGTATACTGATGGAGTGTCTGGGATCCTTTATTGTTATTGTGCCCTAGAGCACTTTACTTAACCCTGGGTTGCTCCATGGGGACTGTCCTTGTAGCTAGTAGGCTACTGTTTTACACTTTGGATGAAAAAACTGTTTGAATAGCAGATAACATTTAAAACTAGGGCTGCTTATCTATTAAATGATGTGACTGAATTCCTGAGAAAATCCTACAACTAACTAAGCTTGAATTGCTTTAGTGATAGGAAAATCCCTTAAAATACAGAATTGCATGCAGGTCAGGGGACATGATTAATTACGTTTTTAAATAACAAAAAAATAAAATAAATCAGCCATCCACCACACAAATTTCGTCTCTATTTCTGCTTACTGTTTTGTATTAAACATTACTTTTTGTTATTAATTAAGTAATCCAAGGGGGATTTAGAGCTTGTGCCGAAGCAAATATGTACTTATATGTAAAATGTAAATGTGAACTTGTGTACTAAACATTTTGAACGATATATTTCTAGTCAGTGTATATATTCCTACAGTGACTGGGAAAATAGTTTAATCCATCTTCAACATATATTACAATGTATATTTCCAGGGGGTTTGCAATGATTTGCCATGCAAAAAAAATTATATAATATATAGAAATATAGAGATTGATTAAAGTGGTCAGAGTAGAGAAAGATGTCAAATTTACCATCACTCCCGTAGCTGTATTAGAAACACTTACGCAGCAGCGTTAACTATATTTCTGAAATGTATTACCAAGATAATATAATCCAAAGTATAGTGTTGTAAATGTATGTACATTAAAAAAATTATTATGAGAGCGAAATATATATAAAAAAGGCAACACTTTAATTTGATAATCCACTTTAGACATTCTACTAACAGTAAGTAACTACATGTCAACTAGCAGTCATTAGAGTATTAGTAGACTGTCTAATAAATATCTTCTAACACTTTATTTTGATGGGTCCACAACATACAACATACTGACTATGACCTAACTTAACAGTCTACTCCGAGAGTTAGTAGACATGTAGTTGCAAATTAATTGAAATTAGTTGATATGTAGTTGCAAAGT